GGGAAAACGAATTTCCCTCTTAGGGCTGTTGAAAGGATGACACGAAATAGCACAAGTGATGCGCCGGGCACCACGCACCGTCCAGAGTCAGGCTTCAATAAACAGTTTTTACGGCCTGCTGCTGTCACTGCGGACGGGTAATGCCAGGGCCGGAGGCCGGAGCTCTTCTCTTGGACACACAAGGGAGTGGGAAAATCCCCTCACGGCCGGGTCCTTTAAGCCCCGGGGTGGAGTTCCCTAGGTCCAGGGCCCTGGCCCCTCTCTCCAGCCCCTGCAGGCTCGGACCCCACATCTACGTGCCAAGGTGGGCCTACTCACCAAGCAGGGTGCCCACACAGGTGACGATGGCAAGCAGGGCCCCAGTGCTGAGCCCAGCGGGTGAGAGCTGAGCCTCGGGCCGGCAGGAAGCCACGGAGCCATCGGGCCGGCAGCGACACACGCTGACTGTCACAGTGGCAGTGCTGCTCAGGGCTGGCTGCCCCCAGTCCCACAGTGCTATGGGAACCAGATAGGGGGCCTGGCGGGGCGGAGCAGGGCGAGAGGGCAGCAACAGGCTGGCGGAGCCATCTGTGGGAGAGGGAAGGTGTCGGGCTCCCTCCTGAGACACCGTCCCTGTAGGGTGGGTGCAGCCCAGGGAGACAGCTTCCAACGGGGAAGGTTGGCAAAGAGCAAATGTGTGCACATCCTCATCTACCTTCTGTTGGGTGGAGGGTCCAGATGTGTGGGCAGGGGTGAGGCTGGGCTAGGAGGTGGGACGGGAGGAGGAAAGCAGGGGGGGCCACCCACCTCGGTTGTCTCGGACAGTGAAGTTGGCATCGGGGCCCAGAGGACCTTGAAGGGAGACACGGCTACTGTTGCCCACCTCGTCTCTATCCAGGGCCCGGATGACCTGAATCAGCTGGGAGGAAGAAGAGAGGCCTTGTATGGAGTGGGCAGCTGGCGGCCTTAAGGTCCTGAGCCCTCTGCCTCCTTGGCTCACCTGGCCGGGGGCTGCAGACTCACACACGAAGGTGTCGTAGGGCTCAGCCAGCTGGGGAGCGTTGTCATTCTCGTCCAGGATTTGGATGGCCACTTGCACACGGGAGGCCTGTGCGGAGCTGTCTGAAGCCAGAACATGAACACATACACCCCCCACGCACACACAACAGTTTACACACAACACACACGGTGCGTGGGCACGGATGCCCCATGTAGCGCACAGGATACACATGCAACACGAGGTATATGCATGCAACGTGCAAGTAGCAAACGGTGATGTGAAATGAATGGGACACCGAGAGCATACGACAACATTCACGTGGTAGCCAAGATGTGTGCAGTGTAGAACACACATTCCACAGGGGCGGAGCACCCATGATATACATACAGGATAACCCACATGCACGGCACATACACCATAAATGAAAGGTAGTTAGAAGGTGCATACAGGTTGCACACAGACAGTAGTCATGAAACAAACACATTCATACCATATATTCAATGTACACTCAGCATTTAAAACGAATACAACATACATGAAATGGGTGTTGGATATACACGGTGTATTCAGTGTCACCCCCCCACCCAAGGTCGAGAGGATGCATTTTCATACACAGCACCAGCGAGACAGAGACAGACAGACAGACAGACAGACACACACACACACACACACACACACACACACACA